ACATCATTTTAAATAATAGCCATGCTCAATTTTTATTACTTTTTATTTTTTAATCAATTGAGGGTTCTTACACTTTGGACTTTACAGTAGTGTGTCTAAAATCTCTTAGCTTTGAATTAAATAAAAGTTGAGATTTCTCAGTACTCATTAAACTTCTGAGGAAGCCTTTAGGAATAATGAATTGTAAGGCTGACTCTGAAGTCAGCAGAACTGGTTACGACACATGAATTCCCTAGAGATCCAGCCTAAATTAAAGCAAAGTTCTGCTTCCAGCTGTAGTGGTATGATCACAGAGTAGCAGACATAAAGATTTACTCCACAAAGAATAAAAACATACATATACTGAAATGAGAAGATACATCTGTCCAGGGTTTTTTCTGTATTGCTAATTAAAAAAAAAAAAAAAAAACAACAACAACAAAAACCCACAAAAAACAAAACAAATCTAGAGAAACTGAAATAAATAATACTATTTTGTAAAAGCACAGACTATTTTCCAATTAAAAATGGGTTCAGGTATTAGCCAATGATGTTGTCTAGATGGATATTACAAGCTTAAATGTATCCTTGAGCCAATAGTTGTTACAGCCATCTACTCAGGGTGTGCTCATCCCAGGAAATTTAGTGTAGTGAAGAGACCCAAACCAGTAAGTTCCACAGATTGTACAGCCCAGAACTCACTTATTGGAGGATATTCCGTGCCAGCACTTGGCTGACATGACTTTTAAGCTTGTTTTCTGCATAGTAAAAGACCTGGCACTTCTGGATGTTGACTAGGCAACATTCATATCTTGGATGTTTCTGTATCTCCCATACTATGAGTGTCTGCTTCACAACTTGCACATCCAAAGAAAATTCATCTAATAGTTTTCACTCGCTGTCCTTCACTTCTGGTGACTGGCTCAGCAGAAGTTCTAGGTCATGGGTTCATACACCTCTTTAACCTCCTTAGGAAAACCAGACACAGTAGGAAGCAACCTTTCCAATATTTATGAGTAGATGGCAGGGATAGCTTATTTGCAAAGGGTGCAGCAAACAAATAAAACATATGATGCCTTTTGCTTTCACTTTGCATAATCCTAGTTGTATGTTTAATGAAAAAATGTGCTATTGTATATGATGTATGTATGTGTGTGTGTGTATAATATTTTGGTTGATTTTTTTGGTTTTATCGCTGTCGAAGGCTTTAAAATTGGATATAATTATGTAAAGTGAGGAATATTCTGTGTCCTTCTACATGAAAATTATTACTGCCCACCACAATATTATACAAAATAATAATTAATATAATATAATATAATATAATATAATATAATATAATATAATATAATATAATACAGCAATAATATAATGCAATACAATACAATGTAATACTGACTCACAGCTGACACACTGTTTCTTGTTAACTGAAAAACCTCTCCAGAACAAGTCAGATAGAACAGAAATAAAAGCATCAAAATATAGCTGTGAGTGAGTAACATGGAAGGTGAACAGTCATTAGAGAGTAAGTAGAGCTATAAGGGGTTTTTAAAAGCCCTAAGGACTCCTGGCTTCCAGTTGTCAGAGCTGAAAATATGGACTGAACAGGACACGCAGATTCAGCTGAAGGCAGGGTTGGGTGCTAATCCCTTACAGAGGGGCTGCCAGCTTCAGACTCTCTCCTAAGTCTTCAAATACATACTTCAAGCAAGCTACATAAATCAGACCTCTCTGGGCTGACTGTCCAGCCAGCAGGTGAACTTATTTTTCCTTTTCTGCTTTCTGAAAGTTGCAATTGGACATATTAGCTAGTCAAAAGGATAAAGTCTTTATGTCTTCCCTGTTGATTTTATTTTTTGTTTTCTAAGGAGTAGCCAGACACTTCTAGCTTTGTCAGGGTAGGTGAATTACAGAGGCAATTCCTTTTACCCCTTCTCTTCTTTTTCTGCCGCTCAAAACAAGAAACAAAATTATTCCTATTAAGGTAATAGCAGATAAACCAGACCAAATTGCTTTACTGCAGTGGTTCAATGTACACTGCTCTGCACAGAAACTGCCTGGTTTATGGTGCTGTTTGCCTTACATTGAGGGAAAGAATATAGATTTCAGAATATTGTCTTACAAAAACATAAATTTCTATGGCAGAGCTAAACTGTAAGCAGTCTGCTACAAGCCATATATGAACTCCGTGACAGTTCATAATACAGTTATAAATACGAAAGGGATAGAAAAGGCCTCACCTGACCCCCTGACTGGTTTTTGCAAGTGTTACTTTGCATTCTCACAAGTCAAGTGACAATTCCCAAATGCTGGCTGCTGTCCAGTGATCTTTCCCCATGGCCTGGCTCGCCACCTTGGCAGGGTTTGAGGCGCAGCGGTGCGTTGTAATTGGTGGTTTTTCTGAGCCCGTGCAGATGGCCAGGGTCGTCAGGGAGCTTTGCTGGGGATGGCAGCCGCTTCCAGCCTTGCTCCAAGGCTCTTGGCAGCACAGGCTACACGTGCCTGCTGTGCCCTATGCCTGCAGCCCAGCCAGCCAGCCAGACAGACAGACACGCACCAGACAAACTGGGTGCTGAAGGAATGGTGTCACCCAAGGCTGTGCCACCTCATCTGGGTGGCAAAATCCTCAGCTTAGGGATAAGAGCTCGCTTCTTGTTTCAACGTGATCACCTGAACCTGCTTCAAAGTTGTCTGCAGCACAGCATCAGGTGTGCTGAAAAACATACTTCAGGGAGTCCACAAGATCTCTTGCAGGGGCACACACCTGATAGTACTGACACTTCTGTGTCTCTTAGTTCCTCCCCAGTAGGGCTACCATGGACTTTGAGGGACACATTCATCCTTTGGAACAGTCATAGGGAGCCACTGAGCAAAGACGTCCTTGAGATACTCTGAGTATCAGCCTACTGTGACAAACCTCAGAGCAGCAGAGGCCAGCAGGGAGGTGTCTGCACAGGCCAATACTGCAACTCAGAGAAGAAAAAAGTGCTAAAGATCATCATCTGAAGTACATCTTTTGTCATCTCTCATTTCCCCCCCCAACTGTCCTCTGGAATAATTTCTACTTATTTCAAGATGTAGTGAGAATCCCAGCTTGTGGCAACTTTTTCCCTTCTCACGAGCCCTGGGGAAACAGTGTGATCTTTTCTGTAACTTCAGTCTCTCAAATTCAAAGCAGGATGGATTTTTTGTTATTTTATTTACTGATTGCTCTACACACAGAAGATGAGAAATGCTCTGGATGTGAGGCTGTTAAGGATTCCTCCTTTGAATATATATTGTGGAATGAAAAAAGTCAGTGACTCAAGAGTGGCTTCCTTGACCACAGCAAGAGGAGAACATAACTGTTTTGGGTTTTCCTGAGAAACTTCTGTTACCACAGCAGCCAGGACTTCTTGAGAAAGAGGTTGTTTCTGTGTCGCAGGAAGAAAGGGTACTAAAATTTGACATTAAGGTCAGGATAATAATCCAGGCCAGAAGTTTTTAACATCTTGGGGTTCATCATTGAGTAAACAAGAAGAAATGAGTCACCAGTAGCTAAAACTCTATGAAAAGACAAAAAAATTCCGGCCTCAAAAGTTAATAAAAGCTTTTCCTTGTGCTCTGTAGTTCTGTGTCAGATACAAGGCTCTGTAGGACTCCATGTAGCTGCAGCTTGTGAGTGACAGAACTAAGAGGACTTGATTAAACCTGCAACAAGATAGAGGAGAAGGAGAAATTGATAGGATATTTTGATAGACATGGGGCAACTGTGTCCTCTCCTTCAGTTTGGAAAGTATTTTAGTCTGCCTGTGAAGCAAACAAGGCAGTAGGTCTGAGATAAAAAACTCTTACTGCTTTTTCAAATTCAAAACTTGTTAATGTTTAGGAAAATAGAGGGGAAAATTAATGGGTACCTAGAGTAGCCATTCTTTTTAATGGAAAATAATAAATAAAGCAGTGTATTGTTTAGGATTAGGAGTCAAAGTGTGTGTGTGCTGGCATAGAGATAATTTCTGAGAACATGAAAAGAAGCCTTTCCTCTCACCTGTGAGCTTTCACAAGGGAGCAGAGAGCACACAGCTCCCTGCCCTCACTGTCAGGCAGTAGCCAGTAACAGTGTAGTGTTTTACTTTACATTGATGGTAGCAACACCCCAAGAAAATTCTTCACCAGGCAGCCAGCAAGAAATACATCTTGGTTTGGTCTGGCCACATTACACACACAGTTAATCACTGTAACTGCCATCACAATTAAAAACTCTGATTTAGATCCTAGGAAGACACTATTTTAATGACCCAATTATTCTTACAGTAGCTGTAACACCAAGACTTGGCTTCCAAAATCTTCTCTGCAGGTCAGACAGATGCCCACAAGGGCAGGGACTGTCGCTGCTGGCTGTGCAGGTGCCAGCAGTGGCACCTGCTAGACACCAGTGACATTTTCTGGCTGCTCCTGCAGGCAGGTGACTGAGAAATGAGCAGCTCAGCTGGGGACATGCTGTTGCAAGCTGTAGTCACTGCTTTCCAGACACCAGTTCATTACAATTCTTATCTAAAAGTGCTACCCTGTCCTACATCAGCAGGGTAGTCCAGGTTCAAGTGTGACTACAAAGCCCACATGATGCCTGGGTGCTGCCTGATGCCTGTCCCTCTCCCAGTGGGTGTTTGGTCAGTGAAAAAGCCTCAGCATGAGCCCAGTCAGCATTTCTGGAGACAGATGGTCTTGGGACCAGAGAAAACTTTCTCACCTAACTTGCTGACTCAGGATGCTTCAAGGCAATGATCTCATGTCCCTTTCCTCTCATACTTTCTCCCCTTTCAGGAAGCAACTGTTTATTGCTTGTTTGTTGGCAACTTGGTTACATTGCTGGTTATGAAATCAAGGGCATCCATAGCAGTTATGCTCTGTCATTTCTGTGCTGACCTTCAAAATATTCTCAGCTAAAGGGCCATCTGCGATTGTAGTCTGATGATGCAGTCAGGGATAGCATTTCTATTCCATAAGAATTCACAGCAATTTGACATTTATTTTCATTCTGAACAAGAATGAAAACTCAACACACTCAGACTTTCCCTGTCATTGAAATTCTTAGTGCTGCCTCAAGGAAAATCTTTTTTTATCCATAACACTGGTAAGGTAACAGTATTTGATAAGGTAACAGTATTTGACTTCAGTAATGCTGAAATTTTGAAGTATAATGTTGAGAAAATTTTATGCAATATTAATATGTTTCATTTAGTGATGTGTTTAGATATATAGACTTCACAATGAAATACAAAAATGTATCTAAATGAGGAATTCAAAATATTTTGAGTGCATCAAGCATATTTGGGAAAATATGGACAGCGGATTTGAACCTGGTTTTGAAAATGTAGTGGTATTTAACATATTTTTGAGGCATCATATTTCTGACAAAAGATATTTTTCTGTCTTCTGTCCAAAATTTTTGGCTGGTTCTAATAATCAGATGCTGTCCTGGTTTAGCTAGATTGTCTCACCCTGCTCCTTAGTACAAGAGTTCTAGCTTCCCTTCAGCCATGTATCCTTCCTTTTCTTGTAGCTTTTGTGACTGTTTCTGGGTGCGTGATGGTGACCGACAGTCTTTTGCTGGACTCCTCATTTGAGCTCCATGACTGACTTTTACAGCTCCCTGATGCAATATGCTGCCAAATCTCTACCCAGAAAGGTCTCCTAAGTTGTCCATGCCCAGGCTGTTTGAAAGGTCTGTATGAGCACTGACCCACTGGCTTGTCCACCTTCCCCTTGCCTTGAGTAGCAGCAGTTCTGCTGTTTCTCTCTTTCCCACTGCTGTCAATGATGGCATTTAAAAAATAAATTGGAGCTGCTCTGTCAAGATATACTTTTGGACACTAAGTGCGGGATATGTCTGACTTCAGACCCTTTCTTCAGGAAAAAACTTATTAGGTCAGCATTCAGCATTAACCTGCACTCTTCCCTAATTAAATTTTGTTTTGTGCTTCAAATATGATTTTCTTACTCCATGATATTTAACAGCATGGGCCTCTATCACACCAGAGAATGCTTGCCTCTCCTTGAGATAGACAAATGGTTGCAGTGAGAGGACTTGGACATGCCTTTTACAAGTAAAAACATTCCATGGCCTAGTGGTAAGAGAAGAAAATAGAAATGTCATGACAGTTTCTCTCTGATAGCATCCAGACTGGCTGTCTTTCTGGAAATCCCAGTAGGTTTGTCAATTCTATTGGACTTTGGGGACGAAATGTATAAGGCATGGCTAAAGAAGTTGATTTTGGGAAGTGATTCTGGGGCATTAGCACTGCCTGCTTTCTGGATCATGGTTAAACCTTACAAGAGTGCCCAAAACCTTAGGTGAGTGCTCAGACTGCTGGACAGGTACATTTTGTGTAAATTAGTCATAAAAGAGGTTTAAGAAACATTCAGATATGTGAACTTCCATTCCTTCTGCTGCGGGGTACCAGATTTCATGTTTTCATGCACGATGTCTCATGGTGGGCCTCATGCTGTTAGTACCTTTGTGTTTGATGAATTGTTTTACAAAGACAGCAAAGATGCTTGGCCCTTTTTTTGCCATGGAGGTACTGTTATGGTATTAAGTAGGATAGACCACTACACTCGTGTCAACAATATTTAAAAGAAGGAAAACCTGAGACTAGTTCAAAGTTGTGGCAGAACTCTCAGATAAACTTATCCAAGCATGAAAGGAGGGATCTAATGTTTTCATTCAAGGCAGGATATGAAAGTAATAAAAGGCTAAAAATAAATCCAAGAGCAGATTCAGGCATGGTGAATAAAGTGAGCATCTTTGTATTTGTCTGGTACTTGAAGCCTTTTTGAATTTTTTTTTTTGAGTTTATTTTGCACAAAATGTCAATGAATAAAACACATAAAGGTAGGGCATGTCTTGCAAGAGATCTCACTGAGATACAGTTATGTTCTTCCAGTCTGCCATCACTCTCCAGAATTGTCATCTTCTTCTCGGCCTGACAGCACCTAATCTTAGCCAAGAGACACCTCACAGTTATCAAGCCTCCTTCCATGAACCATCTTCTGAGGATGTGGCAGGTGACTCCATGTTCTCCTCAGCCTGGAGAAACCTGACGACACACAGGTGTTTGCATTTTAGGTAAGTGCTTAAGCATAAGCATTTAGCACAAATAGGAGCAATAACATCTCATCCAGGATCAGCAGCAGGTAGGGCCTATGAAAAAAAAGAAAGAGAAAGCTGTCTGTGCTTGAATGGGTGGCTCACGTGCTTTAAGTTTTGTAGAGAACCATTTTCTCTTTCTCCTTGACATACTGTTCAGAGTGAACCAGAGGAAAGCATCTCAACCCCTGTGCGATAGTACTTCAGACAAACCCTACTCTGATCTGTGCCTCTTGGCTGTCTTATGGGCTCCAGTGTTGTGTATCCAATCTCCCCACCTCCTGCAGCACTGGGAAAATAAGTGGTGCTTACAAGGCTGTGAATTCTGCTCTCACAGCCAAGACTTTCGACACTTGAGTGTAACAATATGTGGTAGCACCATGCCTATAAAATCTTTAGTTCATGGAAGTCAAAAAATAGCCTCTGGAAACAATTGCTATCATAAAACAGGTGTGAGAGTGGTAACAATTTTTTTCCCTGCTGACTTGTACATCTCAAACTATCATTTCAATTAAGACAAAAATACTACAAGTATTTGGGCAGAATTCTAAATGGAAGTCACCTGTAAACTCATCATATCCCAAGAAATAATCCTGAGACAACATACCTAGACTATCTACTCCCAAGCATAAATTTTTTTCTAGAATTAGGAATGATAGAAATTCAAAGGAACAAATGTGGTCATCTTTTCACACCTTCTAAGCTGTAAACTTTTTCTGACATGAGTTATCTCTTTTGATACTTTGGTACAAAGCTGGCAGAACTGAATCTGTAGAATAGAATTTTAAAATGTAGAGTTTTAATTTAGTATATATGTTTACTGCTTCTGAAGACAAATTCTATGTATGGGAGTCATAATTTACAGAGTGGACCTTGAACACTTCATCAGCTGGTGTCACCACAAATATTGAAGGGTTTTCCTGCAGGTACCATTTTTAACCCCCCCTTTTTCTTGTTTCCTTCTCCTTTGAGATGCTTCATTTTGCACGTTTCTCATTGTCAAATGTTTTTAAATTGCTTCTGGCAGAAATGTTTTACAAGTAGAGAGGATGCCCCAGGCTTCTTCCTGGAAAATAGGAGACTCTGTGTGTGGGGAGGCTGACGCCAGCTATGCAAACCTTGTAGCTTTGCATTAAAAAAAAAGGGGTTTTTTGAGTAAACAATGAAATCCATTATTTACAGGCTGTATTGTAAACATCTGTGGCAGAGAAGTCTTCTTATTGTATGCCTGTAATGACAAGGGCAAACCCAGCACAGGAAGAAGGAAGGACCAACCCACTTAACAGAATGAGACTTATTTGAATTCATGTTAAAGCCACCAACAAACAATCAATGGTTTAGCTGACGCAGAACATAAGCAAATAAGAAATATTAGGATACCTACGTGACATTCTGGCTCCATCAAAACAAGCAGGATGTTCGAAACTGGCGTTAGAGGTCAAGGCTCAGTTTCTAATCTTTTTCCTAAAAAAGCCCAAAAGCAGAACAACTATGCTTGGCTTATATTGTAAAAAGAGTGTTAAAACTGTGGCTTTCTGACTGATTGTGGTACTTAACACACATTTTTTAGACACTTTGATAACTATAGAAAAAGTGTGACTATTGTGCTGCCTCTAAAAAAAGGAAATAAAACTATTCCTTTATAGACCTTGGCAAAGGACGTTACCACATTGTTACTGTCTGGCTAAGCTCTTGGCCTTAGGTCATTGCTTTTGACTTCAGTTGTTGCCATTGCCTTGGAACTGCACTGAAGAGAGATTGTCCACCATTCTTTGCTATGTTGTACAAAGGCAGTCTTCCAGGAAAACCCCACAGTGTCTCTGCTGTGTAGCTCGTCCCAGCTCTGAGGCTCCAAAGAATGTTGGGGAAAATGTTTGCTGCCATTTTTTTACAGCAGACTGAATTAATACCTTTTCTTTCCTCCCTAAAATGCTCCCTACTTCAGCTGTTGAAAACAGTCAGAATTAGAATTCAGATTTGGTTCTCTCCTTTCTTTACAAATTTTGTTTTTGCATGGTTAATCAGATACAACAATCTGTTTTTACATTCTTGTATCATCAAACCTTTTCAAAATTTATGTTGCCTGTTTTAGTTAATCAATTTGCAGTCAAAGGCATAGAGTGCAATCCTTCTGCCATAGCCTTCTTGTCTTTGTTCACACTCTCTTGAGGCTGCCCAGATCACCAGAAGCTTTTCTCTTTTCACAGGCCTTAGACAACGCAGATTTTGGTGGAACTGGAGCTACTTTTACCAGCACAAGATGTAAAAACCTGAGTGTGCTTCTGCAAAACTCAATCCAACAAATGTTTTGAAGCTAATGTTAGCTAAAAAAGGTTACATTTCCCCATGCTCTAGAGAAACAAGTCACTTAGTGTAGAATAAATGCTGTTTCTTACATGCTAATATCTTGCCTGCCTGTAGGAAGCTTGTAGGAGGCAGTGGGAGGTTAGTCTTCAAAAATACTTCAGACTACTCAACTTTACCTCAGTCAGAAAAATGTTAGTGATACTCTCTATATCAGCAGTTTATTAAGCAGTGCATGATCACTGGCTAAAGCCACTGTAATAAACAGTTGTACTTAAAAAAACTAAGCCAAGAATTTTCCTTCTTCTCATTGTCTAAAGTTTTTCATTTAAAACTCATCAGTTACAAACTTGCAAACATCAGTGAATACATATGAACAAGCTAATAATCATGTTTTTATGTAAAATTCTTTTTATTTCCATCTTTCAGCCAGTAGGAAGTCTTATCTGGGACATCAGTCAGAATGTTGCAAAAATGAAGAGGATGTTATTACTCACAGTAAGCCATACTGTGACTTATGAAGAATCACTCTGTATAGTACTCCAAAGGTAGGACTAACACAAGAGCCTGTGAAATTTGTTTGCCAAATTTCTAATGATTTTTTCCCCTTTCTTGCTGATTTCTTAAAGTAAAGATACTTAACAGAGTGGTGTGATTTACCAAACACAAATTATTGCATGGACAACTACATATTGCACAAGTGAGCAACACACTTGCCCTATTCATTGGACTGTGACACTTCTGTCATACCAGGAGTGTCATTGCCTGGAGCTGTTAGCCAAGAACTATCTCTTCAGCAAAAAGGAATTTCTAGTGGCTAACAGAAAAATTATTCTAATTGTACAAGCTAAAAACTTGGGTCAAGACATAGAGAAGCTGGAGATAATTTGCCCATTTATTTCCTTCCTGTAGCAATGCAAGAGTGTTCCCTACACAGCAATTTATGCAGTGCAGATTTTATACAATCTATCCTGATTTTAAACACCATAACTTTGCAGTTTTCCACACTCTTTTCTTGGTATGCTGTTCACAGTGTAACAGACTGTAATAAATAATTGTTGCTTTTCAACCTATGGTTTACTTTTAGGTGTAAGTCATGATTGTCAATACACTCCAATGATTCTGTCTCCTCTCACCTTATAGAACCCCTGGGATCTTCTGGGACAACAGCATTGAAACCATCACATTCCTGCTAGACAGGTCCTCTTGGATGTAGCATTTTCAACTAGACCAGAAATCAGTGTTGGCAAATATGAAGGAAAAGAGAACAGGAAAATATAAACTGCTTAAAAAATGCAAGCTAATAACCATATTCTTCAACAGATTGAAATGTTACCTGTTACCCAGGGTAGCATTTGCATGTTTTTAAACCAAATTCTGGCTATAGTCAGGTAAATATTGACTGAGCTGTGTCAGTACCAGCAGAAAAGGCCCAACAGGTGACCATGGCAATGTCATCCACTGCTTTCTTTTGCAGTGTTCACAGCTGTCCAGTGCCTAATCCCAAAGGTCACATTTTCCTAAGAATCTATTTCTAAAATACTGACTTAAAGTGATGGGACAAAAAATGTGGAATGTGTCCTGGACATCCGTAGGAAAGGAAATGGTTTAGAAACTTCTGAACGCCAGCAACTCTGAAACAGTATGCCAGCAAATCTGCAACACTGAACCTAAAAAACCCAGTCCAAGTTTGTCACATCCTATAAGAACCCTTGTACATTTTCCAACAGAATAAATGTAAAAAAAATTTAGTAGATTATTTTTTTTTTATCAGAGAAATACTTCTTAAAAGTATTTAGCATAGTCAAATGAAGCTCATGTTAATAATGAAAAACTTTAGGTTCCTGTGGCGACTTGTATTTAACTGCCTTAATGAAAAAAGATTTTAAAAAATTATAATTTTTCCAGAGGTATAGTGATTTTTTTTCACTCTCATAGCAGGAATCATTTATATGATAATGGTACATAAAAAAAGCAAATCTCCTTCAAATATTAACATTAATGCATAACATCATGAACTTTATGTGAAAACCAATGAACATAATGTTCTTTTGGTATTCTATATCTGTGCGTTTCTCAGCTTAAAATAAAGGCCAGAAGTGGTGATAGTTAAAGGCCACAGTTTAATCCATAGTTTTCTCCAGCATAACCAAGTGATCCAGTCTGTTATGGGAACCTAGGACAGGCACTTGTCTTAGTCTGGCCTAACAGTCCTGGAAAGGGAACAAATGTTAACACCAACATTGTTAAGAAACATAAGAATAACGTCATGCTTGTAATGCAGAAAGGAGGATTTTTCTTTAAGTGTTTTGGAAACATTAGAATCACAGAACCAATAAGGTTGGAAAAGGTCTCTAAGATCATCAAGTCCAGCCATTATCCTAATATCTCTATGTCCATATTTTAATTATATTTGTAAGGAGCACAAGCTTACTGTGCTCTTACATATTATACAGTCACTGCAGTGAAGGAAACTTTGACACAAACTACACCTAGCAGATGAACCAAAGAATTAAATAAGTCTAGGTCATGTTCATTTAAGAGCTGAAAAGTGGGATGAAATGCTCACATTTAGTCCTGAAAGACAGTTTATACAAACCAGAAGTCTGAGTGTGAAATCTAATGAGGGACATTTAAGGACAAAAGCCCATATTATAAAAAATACGGAGAGCAATGGAATTAGTGCCCTGCTTCACCTTTCACAAAGCTTTCAGCTCAGATCTGATGGGAAATGCCATTCCTACTGTGTTTTGTTACTCTCTAAGGACAGACATTATTCAGGCCCCTTCTCTGCAGCTGTCTTACATCCTAGCTGCGTGAGTTTCATCCCTTATGTCAGATCCATAATAACATCATTAATAACATTAATTCATTATCCTACGGAAGTAAATTTCAATCCAGTAAAGGCAGCATCGGGAGGCATATGGCAAGAAGCCTGCAGTAAACTAATCTGCTGACAAACCCCTCCTATCTGTCAGTGCTTTGACTTTACCAATGTCTTTTGTTTTTATCCAGTGCTTCAGCATATCACTCCGATTACGTGTGCTTAGAGACGGTAGGCTTCTGTAACATTTTCTCTGAAATTAAATCCCAGTGCTTTCATGCTAGGAGTGCAAATCCCTCCTAGAAATTCTTTCCAGCCTCTGAGTGCCCTTTATAGGTACCCTGCGGCTACAGCCCTGCGGTAACAGACCCCGTGCGTTTCAGCTCAGCTGTTCAAACACGTGCATGACCTGGACAGTTAACACTCTCTCAATCCTTTTATCTGTCCCCTTCAGCTCTTTAGAAACAGCTCTTCATTTGCTCCTCGTTTGTATCAAGGCAAGTTTGAATCAGCATTTCTTCATCACAACGCATAATCTCTGGGAAAAACACTTATAATTGTTACGGGAGTGAAGCAAATAAGCAAGCAAGTGTTGACCGCTGTATGTAATCCAAAAGTTTAGTGTCACTCTGCTGGAACAGAGCTGCCTGAAAGAGAGAGGGAAGAGCAGGGTTTTAGTTCCTTAAGTTACAGTATTAGAATATCTCAAGGGACAGGCATAGTCTCTTTGGAGCAAATATATGCCTTTTGCATTTTGAGCCCATCTGCAAATGATTCAGAAGGTATTTCAAAACTCAAAATTTTAAAGCTTTCTTCATTCTCCAACTGTACAATATAAAGAATTTTTCAATGGTATCCTATTGAAAAATGTGACACTACACACACAGACTGATCATCCATTTCACTTACTAGTCCTTTGCAAAGGCAAAAGGGGGTGATCTTAACAGGACAGTTGAAACTGGATTTGCTCAGAAATAAAAGTTCATGAGAGACAAGAAGGAAAAACACCCCAAAGACTTTTTAATAAACTTTTCTATTCAAAATACCAACCTGAGCAATTAATTCATATTTCAAAAATAATGTAGATCATACTTTTCACCTGCCTTTGCACTGCATATTACCACTGTGGTTTTAGTGCATCATCTGCTGCCTGGAGCTTCATGAACTGGAAAGATGTGCTATCATAACAAAACTCTGCTGTGACCTGTTTCATCACAGCCACATTTCTCCCCACATGTGGTTGCTTTTTGGTGGTTCATAAAAGCAAATCACCCACACAGAGGTTAAAACTACATGATGTTGTCTGACAAAAGCACAGCATAAAGCCTAGCTATCCATAATATCTGTGTTATTAGAAGCTTTATGTCACTTTTTCCAGTCAGATGGTGCCTGATCTTATGTCTGTCCGAGATTATGGCAAGATTCCCATTGCATTAGTGGATACTGGATCAGCCCAAAACTCACAACAAAAGGAAGAAAAGAAAGGAGACCACAGGCATATACACAGTGAGCAGAGTTTACTTTCAGTGATTCACAGAAGTAGAGTGTGCTTCCTGGAATTAGTATTTTTCCTTAGCCATGTAGGCTGGAGTGGAAGGAGGTGGGTCTGTCATCCAGCTGTACCTTGTGTGCCAAGTGGTTATAACCATTAGGCAGAAATATGGTCTGCAGCCCACGCCCTGAGGTCCTGCACGCCTGTGTCTTCCAAGGCATAGATTCAGAAGGAAGGTGGGGAGGTGTAATTCCACAACATATGTGAAATCTTGCAGCTAGGCCACCTCCTGGAGATGATGGAAAGGGAATTTCAATTGTAGAGTCCAAGGCCTTGCATTTTTGTAGGAAGGAAGCATGTGGATGAAATAGATACCATTGCTAGTTTTGGAGACGGGGAGAGGGAGGCTTTGGACACAATTCACAAGCCATATCCCAGATGAGGCCTCAGAGAACACAAAGAGCCTGAAGATCTATTCTGAGCGAGGTATCAGGTTGGGGAGGTGGTTATTGAGAACAGGCACCGACAAAGTTAAGTGTAGTCTTGTATGTAGCAACATGTTAACTTTGCAAATCTGAGACTTGTCTGACCGCTCTCCTCCTAGACATCAACATCTCCTAAACTCAGTGTTCTTAGGTGGCTTGGCGCTCCAGGGCAAATCTTTGAATGATTTTCAAAAGACACACTGTAGACAGATCTTACCCGATGTGGATATATTATGCTCAAGCACACCTCAAATCCCCAAAGCAGCAAGTTTAGTCTTGTGATCCATGAGACTGTTCATTAGACAGTTTCCCTCTTCAGAACTCATGGGTGCATTTATATGAGATGGAGTATCTTGTGCTAGCAGGAGGTGATACTTAATGCTACATTTCAGACCAGCCTTGTCTTAATAATTTTTATAGGTTCTCCATTCAAAAATGTTATTTTTCCACTGTCTGTGGAAACTCTGTGCCTATTTCCTAAGCTTATGATTTCACCATCATTCTTTGAGTCACCAACTTTCTCTGCATCTTTACTTTGTGAATACATTGCTCAGAGATAGATTTGGCCAGCAAAATGACTGGGGGCAAAATGACTGGGGGCGGGGGGGGGGGGGGGGAGGGAAAGACACGTTTTTTCGTCTCTTATCAAAATAGCCAAAATGGTAGTTACTGCTGATTGTGATGCTACTAATAGGAATAATGAAAAGATATGCAAAAGAGCTGCATTAGCATAGCCAGGTTGGCTACAGATGTAAATATCCCTCACTTCATCCTATGCATAACTGACTGAAAGAGCTCTTAACTAAAGTCTCCTTATTCTTGTGCAAGCTGCTGTGAATATTGCCCAAGCTGCTACTGAAGATACAATCTGAACACGGTGACTGCTGCATTCCCAGGAGCAAAGTTTTAAGATGACAAATTCACATGCTTTTATCTGAAGGCAGAATCCGACTTTCAATATCTCGATCATAAGTGACATATTAAAAAGAAAGCATCAACATAACCTCAATTGCCCATTGTGACTTTGTGTACCTGGCAAGCAGAACCTATCACTGGAAATGATTTGATATGGAAATTAGGCTGGAATTCCAAAAGGCCATTGTCACAGTTATTCACACTGACTTCAATGACTATTGCCATAATAAACATCACTCAAGCACCAAGTGCCCCGTCCTGATGGATTGCTTAATTAACTAATAATTGCAGGCCGTTACCAGCTTGACCCTGTAGGGTGTGTGCTGTCTCTGTGCCCCCCTGAAAGTAGCTCTCAAGTAATTACCTAGCTACTAGTAAAGAAACCATCACTACTATTTTTAAAACTTTCTTCAGAAGTTCAGAAAGATTTTTGCAATGCACTTTTTTGTTAAAATAAAATTCCTCCAGTTTTAATAGTAGGTGTACAGAGTGAGTGAGTGTGTGTGTGTGTGTGTGCACGCGCGTGTGTGTGTTGCCTTACAGTTCTGGGGATGACAGATGTGTAATGCACTTTAGGATCATCTGAAGGTTATTTTATTCCAGTGGTCCAAGACGAAGTTGGTTTAGTTGAAATGTAAACCATACTCTAAGCATTTGCAAAAATATGTATTCCAATAAGTGTTTAAGAGAATTAGAAATGTTCTAATTGAAAGCAAAGCATTGGTCCCACAACACCAAGTCCTTCTGGGAGTGTAATCACTGTGATAGGGTCTGCAGTTCTTTTAGAGCTGGATGAATGGCTGGAAACCAGCATATCTAGAAAGCAAATCAGTCCACAGGTATTGCCCAGATATTCCAAACTCTCTTGGCTGACATACATGCAGTTCCTGTCCAAGCTTTAGAGAGTAATTGAGCACTTACTACCCTGAAGCCAAACCAGGACACAACACTGGACACATTGTTCTTGTTTAGAGTTTCCTCAGTACCCTGTAAAGTCCCAGTCTGTCTGTCCTGGCTCTTCCTGTCCTGAATCATGCAGCTCCTCCAAGTCCCAAACAAAGGATGCTCAATGCAAATAAAGAGATAGGCAGATAATGATATCTTCTAAATATTTGCTATGGGAGGGATTTTCCTCACCATGTGATATAGAGGAAAACAAGATAAGGCACAGTCACCTAAACCAAATGTCTCTAGCAGACACACTCCAGTCAGCAGACAGGCTCTGATTTAAAGTATCAGAACACAGTAAATGTAATCAAAAGGAGATGAGTAAAGGGAAACTTCTGACAATAGTCACTGGATTTGATATCAGATCATGTATCTGGGATGCATTTTTGCTGTTGTAGGAGTTTCATGAAAAGCACTATAATGCTTTAAGGATCATTCAAGTCGTATGTGATTGCTAAGAGGACCCAGGAAGGAGAGACCTGAAGGATGGGAGATTAATGGAAAGATGAAATATGTGGAAGGCCCAAATACCTATCTCAGTATAAGCATAGCTAGTATGAACCCCCTTACCTTTTGAATGGCCCAGAATTGCTAGATGTTAAATACTTCTGGAAGCAGTGCCATGTGCTGGTTTTGTTTTGCATAATTAAAGGAAGTTTGCATTCTAATTCCTTCATCCGTGGTGGTGTCACAAACCGCTGAAAGTCTAAGAGCAAATTATGCAAAGTGGAGGTATGACACAGCTTCCTGATCTGGTCATTTTGTGCTTCTAAGATACACATACATTTAAGTACCATGTCTGAGGAACACCTCAGGCTGGAATGTCATCCTCAACTTGCTTAATTAGTCAATTGAAGTCATTCCATGTGTTTGACCCCACACTTCCTAAAGAGTTCCCACCATTGATCAGAAGGAGGTAGTCACAGACACAGGAAGTAATCATGTAACCAAAACAAACCCAGTTTATAATTTGATCATTTCAGAGATTATTTATGCCACACAGCACTGGAAAATAATAGCAAAAGAACATTGATGAACAGATTCAAGCCATAAATATTTTTCATTATCAGTTTAAAATAGATTTATTGTGTCTTCATACTATTTCATGCCACATGCCACACAGAGCTAACTTCCTGAAGTTGATTATGCTGTCATTTTTTTCTCCTTGGGACTGAGTTAGAGCAAATCAAAATAACTAGAGAAGTCAATCTTCTTCAATCACTGTGCAATCCAATGAGTGGTTAACAACTGAAGAGCATCTATTTCTCTGGGTCTTACTGCACTCTAGGAACTGTATTGAAAACATGCTCTTAACAAGATGATGTTGAATTTTCCCATGTAATTGCCTAATTTGTCTGGGTTGCTACTACACAGACCAAAACTATAGAAGCTGATGTATAGCCTCATTTCCCCTTACGACTTTCACCCTTTGTAGTCTGCATTTAATACAATTTAATGGTCAAGCAACAGAGCCCTGTTGGCTTTCTGAGCCAAAAAATAATGAGCTTTTGTCTCGTTTTCTCCCTTGTTAGGACTGTGCCTTCTTGGAAGTGGCTTCTCCTTTTAGCACTTAGGCTTCCTTTGGGCACCGTAGGGTTAATCATAGAGTCAGTGGCAAATCTGGTTTTAGGTTTGCTGTGACCACAGCTCTGCTAACAACTCAATTAGCAGCCACTGTGGAAATAATAAATCATGAGTAAAAACTGTTGTTGCTTGCTTGGCTTTGTACTAATTACTTTTCTGCCAAGAGCAGGTAACAACCTGCATTTGAACACGGCTGGCAGTTCAGCACCCTCCAGCCCACAGTGACTGGGAAGCTGTTTGTCACCAGCATAGGATGATTCCCTGGAAAAACAGTTTGTGGCTTCACGCTCTAGAGCTGCTTCCAAGGGCTGAGTGGTCACTGAGCTATGTCAGTAGGCAGGAAGCAGGGAAGCCAAAACACCCCAGGAGCAATTCAAATGGCTATGCAGAGGCATCTGAGGTCAACTATGACCTTGCCACTTCACCTTCCGCTGCTGCTTCAGAAGGGTCTGCTGTTGGACATGAGTCATAGATGTCTACTTGGTACTTTAAGGCCTGGATAACTGGATTGCTCTGCTCATGTTGTGATTGCCCCAAAGGGGCAGAATTGTTTTTCTCACTGTCCTTTATCTTGTATCTGTGTTCTTCCAAAAAATAAACCTAGCCAAACACAAAGATCATAATCCTGGTCCTTGTACCCTGGCATCTTCATTGCCTTTCAGAAGCTACCAGAGAGGTTCCAAAGCTTGAGGAGATTATTCTCATCTTCACCACAAAACCCTTGTTACCTACTTGGGTATTGCAACATAGTCTTTATATTTGCTCATTGTACTCAGCAGAGCAGAAACAGCTGTCTCTGTTTTTTTGAGATGTACCTGACATATGATTGTAAATTGAAATAGTGAACAAATAAAACTTTTCAATTCTGTGAAAAAGTTTGCTTGACCAACATGGAGTATGGGAGCACAGCATGTTTGCACAAGAACATTTCAATGCCAATGAAAATTTTCCATTTCATAGGAAGAAA